GAACAGTTGGTTGTGGTAATCTTAAATATACTACCTATTTATAAACTGATAAGTAAATTATAAGATTTTATCATAATAAGATAGTAGAAGGTTAGGTTAGGTGTTAGAATCATGAATTTATTTAGATACTAGTCGTTAATCGTTATAGTCCAATCGATATCCACTTTTTACCTGGAAAGTATTCCAAAATTAACTAAATTTTTACAGGTTGTCAGGGGTACTCTAAGATGTCTATCCTAAGTTTTCGACCTCGAGGACCCTGTGCTAACTTAGGAGGGGGGGGGGGGGGGTTGGCAAAAACACCAAAACTTTCAGACGACTTGTTTCAGTTTTTCGCTTAAATCTTCTAAACTAATCATATTTTGTGGTCTACAGGTTATAACAAAGTTGTAGACTATTAAATTTTCTAAAATGTGGTTGGTAAAAATTATTTTTAGATCAAAAATCCACCGAGATACAGTCGATGAAAGATAGAAAAAGTTTCTCAAAATTTAAAAAAAAAACTGAAAAACGAAGGTTTTGGTTCCGTAACTATTTAATGCCGTAATTTTCATATTAATTATATCAATCACTTATCAAAATTAACATCTAAGAACAAATATGTACCTCCCTGCCCCACCCCTTCACCAACACCAAACGTGAAGATACAATGTTGTCCTAATAAAATTATGCCTTTATTTAAATACATTTTATACTTTTATCACTTTAATTCTTGATTACTAAACTTTGTTAAAAATAAAATTAAAATTTTACCATTTTTTATTGCATATAAATCTTAGCATTAAATTATTAAACGTTACTATGGTACGTCCATATGGGATAAGCAGTACCTATATGCACATTTCTGTGAATTTGACGTCCTGCTTAATTTTATAATATAATAATTGTGAAACACGGCACTTTGGATAGGCAATATAGGTACATTAGGTACAATCTCGAAGAGTCAATGCCTTACAATGTTCAATACTTGAACGTGCCATACTTTAAGATAATTTTTGTAATTATTAGCATAAATAAGATTAAAGTATTAATTGCACACCATTAACTGCCTTAGAAATCCAGAAGGTGCACAAAACTACACGCATTTACAGTCCCGGTTTTGTCTTAACAAAATGCGACGTCGTCGTCGTCCAAAAAATCCAACCTCTATTGATCAGTTAGCAGATATATTGAATGAATCTACAACATCTACATCATATATATCAACATTGCAGCGTCCTTCTTCAAGGTACATGAAATAAATTAAAAATATTTTTTGTTTTATTTATCATTTCTTTATTATTTTATACTTAGATTTTTTCAACATGATTGTCCATTGATGGTAGATGGAGAACGAGTTGGTGTAGTATTTGCTAATACAGAATATGCAATCGACAAATATAGGGGAGAACTACTCCAATCAATTACCATCGCAGGAGTAGATGGTACTTTTAAAACCTTGCCGAGAAATCCTCCTGATTTGAAAAAAGGCTGCCTGCTTACTTTTCATATAGTTTACAGAAATGTGGTAAGTTATTTTTTTTTTAATTATTAATTCTATCTACCGATAATATCTTTTTTTTTTACCTAGTCTTCCCAATTGTGTATGCATTGACTACAAGGATGACACTATCCACATATGAGTCCTTTTTAGAATTGTACAACAGATTTTACCTCTGAACTACAACCAGTTAACCATCATAACAGATTATGAACGAGGTTTGATGAACGCAGTAAGGGTTGTTTTTACTCTAAGCTCCAGGGATGTTGGTTCCATTTTTGCCAGTCTGTTATCAGGTACTGCAAAAGAAGCATGAACAGTCTATTCCAACTATTTCAGACAAGTGTTGAGGCGGCCATAGTTTTACGCATGGTAATATGCTATTACGATGAAATAATTTTGTAATTATTTAATTTGCCTAAAATTAGTTTGATATTTTTACTTACTTGGTTAAATTCGATTTGGGTTTTTAATTTTTAGGTGTTAGCTCTACCCCATCTTCCTGCTGAGCCCCAAATTAATTGTAATTTCACAATGTTAGATAGTTTTCAAATAATCGTGGAATATGTCAACCAACAACCTGTAATTCGTGAACGCCTACAAGGATTTTTATTTGGCTCCATACACAATTTTTGGTTTAGACAAATAAACGCTGAAAACATAAGTGTCTTTGGGTTAGAATTCTTAAAAATAACATACCTACACAGATTATTGTCCTATAAATTATAATATATATTTTTGTAATATATCTTAGGTCAGAGGTTAGAACTAACAATTATGTTGAGTCCTTTCATGCCACACTGAAGACACAGATTGGAAAACACCCCAATATCTGGGATTTCATGCGTCAGAGACTTGTCGGTTTTTGTGTTGGTTCATGTTCATCGGTCCTGTGTTGCCGCCAGCCACAAACCATGTTTTTACAGTACACTTGTGTATCGCAATACATGTACTCAAATCGTCTGGTAACCGTATACACACTGATACAATTTTTCTAATAGTTTTGTCCCCATTCTAGGGTGGTCAAATTATCAACTCGTGGTTGTGTTTGTTGAGGCGGTGGTGTCATGGCATCAGCAGTCCCTTCTCGGCGGCATCATTTTATCATTGTTCGTTTTGTTTTGTGAGTATTGGTTAACCGTTAATGTTCAAACTAGTATTACAGCCGACGGGCTCTAGTCATTACTTATTAGTATAAATTTGCCAACAGACAAAAATCATTATTTTGTATATCAGCAGACCAGGCTTATTACTCGCTTGTTTTTTACATTGTTATTGATTTACTATCATATTTTATTATTATTGTTAGCCAACAGGCATTTCATATTATTCTCTTGTTATTGCCATCACATGTGTAATTTAATATACTTATAACCACCAGAGACTTACAATTAACACCTGATTATTATTACCTTACTTATTTCTTACTTCATTATTATTCATTAGGGGTGAGGGTGTACTTGGTGTTTCGGTTGATACATCAAGCATCAACATTTTTTTGGTGACCTCGACGTGATACATTTAATTCTTTATCAAGTTATTTGCTGTTATGTTAAACTTGTAAGTGTAATAGTTGGTTTGTTGTTTCCCTCTGGTGTGTTACAGGTTATTGTAGTATAGTTAATCACTGTGACAAGCAAACGTTGTAACTCATAGACTGACAGTACCGTTAGTTTACTTTTAAGTTAGTCAATTATTGTCTTGTAGGGTACAAAAAGTATAAACCACACTGTCAGTAAAAATCAGTCAACAATCACCGTGGTTGGATTGTTAATTTTGTAAATTCTTAACTTGTCTTTTTTATTTTTTTATTGTGAGATAAGCACTTGGTGCATAACACTTTTTTGTAAAACAGTTATGGCTGCCAAAGTGGTGAAGAAGAAGCTCAAGACTATTGCCTCTGAACTTGCAGCGCTATTGTCATTCATCTCTCAGTTTGATGTTTCAACTGGTAACATCAACGTGGTGCGTGTAAGGATCGAATGCTTGCCTGATATCTCTGAGAGATTTGAACTGCTTCAAACCGAACTAGAGAACCTTGAGTGACATGTCCCTGATGAGCAATGTATTACTGAACGATTGACACACAAAGATCTTCTGTTCAGTGTCAAAGCATCTTTAATGAGTCTTTTGGATTCAAAGCAGGAGAATAGTTCAAGCGCTCCCTCAGTCAGTGAGGTGAGAAGACTTGATGGTGAAAGTTCAATGAGACTTCCGCTAATTGATGCACCAAAATTTAATGGCGACTGGCAGATGTGGACGTCGTTCATAGACTCATTCAATGCCATGTTTCATACAAACAAGAAACTAGCTCCAGTTCAACGGTTGCATTATTTAAAGAGTTGCCTAGGACAGGCTCGTGAGGTCATTAGGTCAATCCCTACGACCGGAGAAAACTACTTACAAGCATACAACACACTAATTAGCAGATATGGAAACAAGGGTGCCATTATTCAATCACACATCCGGTCACTCTTCGACACACCGAGGGTACACACTGCGTCGGCCACAGATCTACAAAATCTTCATCATCATATTATGTCTAATGTCAACTCGATAAGGGCGTCAGCTCAACCAGTTGAGTCATGGGATGCGTGCATGGTGACGTTGATCTGTAGTCGCATGGACAGCGCCACAGTGGGCGAGTGGCAGCTACATTACAACAAAAAAGACTTGTCATCCTTCACTGAAATCGAATCGTTCTTGTTTAACAGAATCGCTGCTTACGAAGCTGGTGAATTGAACAGCCACAAGGTCAGTTCCAACCCAGTGCCTGCTAATTTGATTCCATCATCGTTCAACAAACAGAAACTTTCTAAATTTAACGACAAGAAAATTCTGTTTGCCAAATACAACGAAAGTTGAGGAACGCAGAGATTTTGTATTCAAGAATCGGTGTTGTTTCAACTGCTTGCAATCTGATCACCAAGTGCGACAATGCAGATCGTCATCATGCACCCAATGCGGAAAAAGACACAACACTTTGTTGCACCTCAGCTATGAAGAGCAGGAGGCTGATGAGCAACGCAATGACGATAACCAGTCGGCTCAGGGGTCAAGTAGGTAGTGCGCCACCCAATGTAGTTGGCTGTGGTATGGTAAATAGAACAGTACATTGTAAGCCTACTATTCAGGTTGTATTGGCTACTGCTGTGGCTTATGTGAATGACGCAGCAGGTAATGTGATGCGTTGCAGGGCAGTACTTGACTCAGGTTCACAGTTGTGTTGTATCACTAACAAACTGGCTCGACGCCTCGGTTTACAGAAAGTCAATAATACTGTACCTATTATTGGAATCGGGCAGTCAAAATCATCAACCAGCAAATGTTGTATGGGTACAGTGCAGTCTCGGTTTGTCCAGACACAGTTCCAGGTACAACTTCATGTGTTACCTACTATCACCGGCGACCTTCCAACACAGAGGTTTGACACAAATTAATTAAACATCCCTCATGAAATACAATCAAGCTTAGCTGATCCCGAATACAGCAAACCTGGGTCTGTCAACATGTTACTTGGTGCTGAAATATTTTTTGATATTTTAAGACAAGATAAACACATAGTGTCGGAGCTTGCTGCCTTCCAGGCCACTGTGTTCGGTTGGATTTTGGTGGGTTAAGTACTCACCCAACCATCTTTGGTATCACTGGTACGTCCGGTCATAAATTAATGCTCTGCATTATCGTTATTCACATTGACAGTGTCTAAACGGTTATGCGAAGAGGAAGGAGCTGTGGAACAACATTTCACACAAACCACTCGTAGAAATGAAAGAGGACAATTTGTGGTCCGACTTCCGCTGAAGGAACATCCCTTGTGCATAGGAAATACAAACATTATAGCTAGGAAACGATTTCTTAGTCTCGAACAAAAATTGATCAAAGACAAGGGTGTTGTCAAACGAATATGGCAAATTTTTGATGGAGTACTTGAAGTTAGGGCACATGGAAAAAGTGGGACAATTCAATGAAACCCAATCCAACGGATATTACATACCTCACCATGCAGTCTTTAAAAGCACCAGTACAACCACAAAGTTGCGAGTAGTATTTGATGCATCTACTATAGGTTCAACAGGAAAGTCTTTGAATGACTTGCTCATGAAAGGTCCAGTTGTCCAACCTACTTTGTATCCCACACTGTTGCGTTTTTCGAGTCCATCAAGTAGCCCTCACAGCAGATATAGAGAAGATGTATCGACAAATACTGGTTCACAATGACGACTGTCAGCTACAAAAAATAGTTTATCTGTCAAAGCCTACTGATGAGCTTCAAGAGTTCATATTGAAAACAGTAACATATGGTACAAAGACTGCCCCGTACTTAGCCACCAGGACAGGTCCCTGGTACAGTTGGGGAACACATGCGATGATCCGGACCTAGCAAGAATCATCCAAAGGGACTTCTATGTAGATGATTTATTGACAGGAGCAGACACTGATGAACAATGTCATGAGATGTTCCAAAAACTCACTAGTGTGCTCAACAGTGCCCAATTACCATTGAGGAAGTGGTGCTCGAATTCGTCAACACTCTTGTCCATATTACCTTCCACCAACCAAGTTACTCGATTACTTTTCAAATATGAACATGTCAGATTACTGCATGTGGGACCATTGGCATTGTTAGCACATATCAATAATCAGTATTGGGTGATTAGAGGTCGGTGCATAGCAAGATCCACTGTAAGTCGCTGCATTCAATGTTTCAGAACCAGTCCTAGATTTGTATCCCCATTCATGGCACCCCTTCCACGTGAGAGAGTGACCATTGCAAGACCTTTTGCACGAACTGGTGTAGACTATTTGTGCCCGGTTATGGTGCGAAGTGGCTTAAGGAAAGTTACTCCTCTGAGTTATGATGACATATGATGAGACTACCACATTACTATGCTGTATAGAAGCAGTGTTGAATTCACGGCCATTAACACCACTGTCAAGCGATCCTTCTGACTTCAATGCTTTGACAGCCGGCCATTTCTTGATTGGTGGTCCACTACAGCTCCCACCTGAACCAGATAGTACAGGCATTCCACAGAACCGTCTGCGTCAATTCAAACTCTTGCAAGCACAAGCACAGAATTTTTGGAAACGGTGGTCTTCGGAGTATTTACCCCAGTGTCAACAACGTGGCAAGTGGACCAAACTCACTCGAAACATTGAAGTAAGAGACTTAGCAGTTTTAAAGAATGACAATAGCCCACCACTGCAATGGGACCTAGTTCGTGTTACCAAAGTTCATCCGGGCCCTGATGGAATTGTACGAGCTGTCACGGTACGGAATTCGGCGGAATCTGAGTTCAAGCTTCCAGCAACCAAGTTAGCTGTTCTACCCACTAAAAACGATGAAGTCAGAGAAAGACAGAACGCGTAATAAAATTTTGTATTGTATTCTTTGCTCATTTGTAATTATTGTTATGTATTTTTTGTGATTCGTTTTTTCAAATTATCATATTTATTCAAAGTCAGTTAGGCCACAATTATTGTAATTTTTGAAAGGCATATCACTTTCAAAAGGGGGGAATATGTTTGCCCCGCAAACAGGGTTCAGTGGTGTTGTGTTTAAGTTAGTTACGGACTTAAGGTGCTTATCACTGATGACTTTTATCATGTGTGTTCTTGTAATCTGGTGTGTTGTGTTTTGCTCACCGGAGGAAAAAACTACAATTCGTGTTTTAAGTCTACTAGCACTGAGCTCTCGGTCCTAAATTCATGTGTGTGATTTGTTCGTTAGTAGAACTTGAACATCGAGCACACATTACATTCTTTTTTTCAATCGCCTTTGAGACACTTGTCGGTTTTTGTGTTGGTTTATGTTCATCGGTCCTGTGTTGCCGCCAGCCACAAACCATGTTTTTACAGTACAATTGTGTATCGCAATACATGTACTCAAATCGTCTGGTAACCGTATACACACTGATACAATTTTTCTAATAGTTTTTTCCCCATTCTAGGGTGGTCAAATTATCAACGCGTGGTTGTGTTTGTTGAGGCGGTAGTGTCATGGCATCAGCGGTCCCTTCTCGGCGGCATCATTTTGTCATTGTTCGTTTTGTTTTGTGAGTATTGGTTAACCGTTAATGTTCAAACTAGTGTTACAGCCGACGGGCTCTAGTCATTACTTATTAGTATAAATTTGCCAACAGGCTCATATTGTCATTGTTGTAAGTTGTCATCAGGCACATTGTATTATTGTTAAATTGCCAACAGGCAAAAATCATTATTTTGTATATCAGCAGACCAGGCTTATTACTCGCTTGTTTTTTACATTGTTATTGATTTAATATCATATTTTATTATTATTGTTAGCCAACAGGCACTTTATATTATTCTCTTGTTATTGTCATCACATGTGTAATTTAATATCTTTATAACCGCCAGAGACTTACAATAAACACCTGATTATTATTACCTTGCTTATTTCTTACTTTATTATTATTTATTATTCATTCGGCTTGAGGGTGTACTAGGTGTTTCCGGTTTCGGTTGATACATCAAGCATCGAGCGCGTCAACAGTGTGATTCTGAAAATGTGGCCCGTTGAAGATATTAAATGCAAATTATATGCATATGAAACGATGAGTTCAAATGGTTCTTGGGCAGTATTTGATCCTTAGATTTGTATATGATCTAAGATTTGATCTAAGTAAAATATGCTCCCTTATCAGTTATCACAGTACCATTATCACGGTTACAAAGTTTAATACCACTTCTATGGTTAAATTAATACGTTATAACTTATAAGTAACCGCCAAATCAAATTTAATTAAATCATTTGAAAAATATACATTATTTTATATTTTTGTAAATGTTATTGTAATTGTTTATTGTACACATAAATATTTGGGATAAAAGTTATTTAGAAACAAAAATATTCGGTATATAGATTTCGTTAAAATAAGAACTCGAGAAATGATAAGGTTTGAAATTCGAAAAAGTAGTACCAACTGACTAAATCGAAATTACCTAATTAATTACAAGTGATAAGCTATTGTCCAAAAAAAATTATAAGGACAGATAAGAGTGGTTAGCCTGTGGTTACCCAATGACCACGATTATAAAGAACAATTATAAAGTGCAATAATTGTTTCCAAATCGTGAAAAAGTGATAGCCGATAGGCCATACACGACCACGATTATAAAGAACTTTAGAACTTTTTAAGTTCTTTATAATCGTGTACACGACACACGCAATATCAAATAATGAAAATCTGACACGTCTGACTAGCAGCGCTCGGCAGTTAATGGAACTACGCCATAACGAGTTCTGACCTATTCTATGCAGCCCACGTCGCTTAACCTGTTTATAATCGTGCCCAATGACCAACTTGACGTGGTGTTTATGAAAAATCAGGGCATTTATGAAAAATCAGTTGGTAGCCCTGGAGTTGTTAGTAATGACCACGGACTAAGATATAATGGACTGGAAACGAGCAGCTTATCATGGCCACGAATGTATGTTCAAGAGGCAAAGTGCGGGGTGTCGCTATCTGTTCTTGGAGTTCACAGCGCCCTCTGTATTTAACACGGACTAAGATACAAATTGTGTAGCCAAATAAAACCACCGGTAGCGCTGAAAACTTCAAGAACAGTATTCTTATCAGCTAAGTGACATCTTTTCGTGGCCGTCCCCCGATCCCCGCCGACCATGTCGTTTCCAGTCCATTATATCTTAGTCCGTGGTAATGACTGGAGAGTGGAGTACCAACTACCAAGTACCAACTGGCAACTATCGTCTATCATAGTCATTTGTATTTTGTGATTTGTCATAGCCGGTGAACGAGTGCCGAGTGGCGTCTTAGACTTAGAGTTTAGACCATCAATACAATTAAAGAATAAAGATAATATTATTCTTCATCTTCAATAATTATTATTGCTGGTGCGTTTGATGCATATATTACAATGGTAAATTGCCATTGGTAATAATATCAGCTAATAAATAATCCACTGCGAATGAGCACCTGTAAGAGTAACCAGCTACCGTGTAAGTACCTACTTTATTTCGTAATAAAATATGTATTCTTTATTATTATACAGTATATAGTTGGTAAATTAAAATTGATTATCGAACCACAGAATTTAATAATGACAAACTCAATGTCTTCTATGTACCTAGGTTAAATATATTTATTCATATATTTTGTGAAATTATCCATTTTATTGAACTGTAATATTATAACACAATCTTAAGTGTTGTAAAAAATATTTTTAAAAAGTATTAATGTAATTACTCATATATTTTAAAATAAAGTATTTAAAATACAACCCAAATACAGGGTTATTCAAAATGATTCATCCGATTTAAAGTGCTTATATTGTCTACCGTAATAATATTAAAGTAATAAAGTACAATATAAGTATAATTTAAAGTATATATTTTTTATTACCCTGTGACCCACTTGGGGAGGTGTTGCACAGCAAGTCGGGGGATATTTTCGATTTGCGGAGCGGAGCGACGGCGCCGAGGAGCGTAGCGACGAGTGCCGCTAGCACCGCATCACTGTATGATGTTTTTTCAAATTGGTGGCTCGGTGCAACAAAAATGCAATTGATTGAAAAAACTATAAATTTGTTATAAATTTGTCCTTGGTAATTGGTTAATTGTAGGAACATGATGAAAATGTATTTAAAAAATATAAAAAACACTAAATACTGACTCGGTATTCAATTTTAAATACATATCAGTGTTTTCCTTTTATTTATGGCAGTCCAAATGAGAAGTTTTAGAAAAAGAATATGTACAAATGGACACCCTACAAACACTTCTTACAAGTTGGTCGTACCAACTGAAAGGTTTGATATATAAGGTACCTAATGTTGTTATGGTTCATGTTCACAGTATTTAATTGAAAACAAACAATAGAGAGGACATAATATGGAACCATTAAGAATAACAGCTACTGATGATTGCGGGATTTATTCCAAGTGAGCAAAACCATTGTAATTAGCGTGTCATTAATGAATTAATTTTCAACCTACATAACTAGCTGTTTTGTCAATTTATGTATTTATTATTAAATTTGTGCAAATGTGTAACCTATTAGGTAGTACATACTGATAAAAAATCAATTTTTTAGGTATCGTGATATAATACATAGGTCTAGTATGTTGTCAATCCCATTAATAAGATGTGATGATATTCCTGTTATTAAACAGGAAAATATTGATAATCTAGTATTAAAGGGAACTGTCAAAGAAGAAATGATTGAAGAAATAGACCGTAACAATGAAAGTGGATCATTTCGAATAGGGTATGAATTAAATTTACATCATAGTATAATAATAAATTTACTGATACAATTTTAATTTTTCATAATTTGTTTTAAACATTAAGAGATAGTTTATAAAAATTAATAAATTAATTTTTAACCTACATAACTAGCTGTTTTGTCAATTTATGTATTTATTATTAAATTTGTGCAAATGTGTAACCTATTAGGTAGTACATACTGATAAAAAATCAATTTTTTAGGTATCATGATATAATACATAGGTCTAGTATGTCGTCAATCCCATTATTAAGATGTGAAGATATTCCTGTTATTAAACAGGAAAATATTGATAATCTAGTATTTAAGGGAACTGTCAAAGAAGAAATGATTGAAGAAATAGACCGTAACAATGAAAGTGGATCATTTCGAATAGGGTATGAATTAAATTTACATCATAGTATAATAATAAATTTACTGATACAATTTTAATTTTTCATAATTTGTTTTAAACATTAAGAGATAGTTTATAAAAATTAATAAATTAATTTTTAACCTACATAACTAGCTGTTTTGTCAATTTATGTATTTATTATTAAATTTGTGCAAATGTGTAACCTATTAGGTAGAGTACATACTGATAAAAAATCAATTTTTTAGGTATCCTGATATAATACATAGGTCTAGTATGTCGTCAATCCCATTATTAAGATGTGAAGATATTCCTGTTATTAAACAGGAAAATATTGATAATCATGTATTGAATGGAACTGTCAAAGAAGAAATGATTGAAGAAATAGACCGTAACAATGAAAGTCGATCATTTCAAATAGGGTATGAATTAAATTTACATCATAGTATAATAATAAATTTACTGATACAATTTTAATTTTTCATAATTTGTTTTAAACATTAAGAGATAGTTTATAAAAATTAATAAATAAAAATGGTTGGCAAGCGGTCACTGTATTGGATGACATGTTAAATTTGAATTCAACAATATAAAATCATTGTATTTATTCGAAAATGATTTTGAGTGTTGACAGTTTGTCAGCCCATTAGTTTATTTGTGACAACCAGAGTTAAGTGACCAGTGTTACTTATTAATTTTTATATATTAGGCTATAGTTATTTTAAAAATATTGTTTCCGTGTGCGTGCGATAGAAACTTTTGTCCCGTGGGCCCAAGTCCGCCGATCGTTGAAAATACCTACCGGTGCGGTGAACGCACACACCCTCCCCGCTATCTTCTTACATTAACAATACTAAATTAACAACATACTAGGATATAATATATACAACAATATTAATTAACAATTTAAAAACGAGAAGCAGGAACATTATACGCTGTTCTAAACCCATTTCATAGAGTAGTATGGGTACCACATATGGTTCCGGGACTTTTGCGGTCGGCACCTTTTTCTGCTCAAATTTTTGAGAAGAGTTTACACCAATAATAGAACAGGGAGCATATTACCATTCTGCACATCAAATAAAACCCATACACAAATACGGCTTTCTCATTAGTTCACCATTTGGCGTTATGAAATATTAAAATATTTTTAATAGAATAATATTAGTTAATACAAAAAGTTTTTTTTATTTCTATTATTATATTTAGGTGCAAACAATTGGAAATAAGTTATACTTCATACACATCTAATCATAATATAAATTAATTTGATAATTGATTATAATAATTACAATAAGGTAAAATATGAAATATGAATTATTATTATTATTATTATATATTTTCAATCGAAAAGTATAAATTATAATGTTATTGGTTTTCTAAGTTAGGTTTAGTAATCTTCACTGGTCATGCCAGTTTTGCACACATTTATATTATGTTGGGTTAATTCTACCATTCACAAAATCTTCAATTGGTTTGTTTGCCATTGTTAAAATACCCTCATGATATCTATTAATTATAAAATAATACAAATAATTGTTGTGTATACTTGGGTTGATAAATTACATTTAAATAAAATGATTATATCTTTTATTAGAAATACTAACTGAATTAGTGGTAAAATTTAATTGATGTTAACAAAAAAGAAACGGAAAAATTGTACATTCAATTTTTGTCTAATCAATTCTATTATAAATTTGATACAATCAAATTATGTTTTATTTACATCAAATGACACCATCTATTATAACAAATCAACATAAATTCTACTTTAAATCTGTCATATTGTTATTATTAATATATATTTAACTTAATGCATCTGATATTGTCATCCCATCATAAAAATAATCTTCAAATGTACTTTTTATTAACTCCTTGTAATCGTTTCGATGTTGTACAATTATCAAATGTTCCTTTACAAACTCTAAGACTCTTGTTAAATGTGGATTAATAATTTCTTTCATTTAATTGTCCGAAATACGTGGAGAAAAATTGTCCTTGTTTATTTTATTTCACAAGTGCTCGAATCTTTTGAAAATAGGAACGTTATTCGCTGATGGTTTATTTAATTTTTCCCCAAAAACACTTCGTAAAATTATCAATAACAACTTAGCTATTTCAATATGTCGTGACTGAAATCACCCCATTTTATATTTCTATTATTATGAACCACCATAAAAGGCATTTGTAAAGCAGGTGATCTACCAATTTACTAGAAGTGAACCACTACAAGATTTAGGTACCTATAATAATATGTACATTGTACATATCTATTAGGTTTAAAATATATTTCACCATTAATTATTAAGATATTTTTTTATTTAGGATTATCAAATCAAATAAGAATTCATTCAAAAATACACAGTTTACCGCCATTGATTAGTGCTACTATATGAAAATTATATTTCTATTATTATCAAAATCAGGCGTACCTACATTATCATAATAGTAATACATTATAGTTTTCGGCTTAAATTGAGAAGTATGTAATAACTAATAAGTAATAACTATAATAATTAATAGGTAAATAATAAAGGAGTAGAAGCGCACTTGATCGACTTTACAATTACTACTATGAAAGAAATGCACATTTATAAAATTTGATAGAGCACCTGATAGATAAACACCCTTCAAAAATGTTACCATAATATTTAAAAGCCCAGGACTATGATAAATCTATTCCAAATTAAATGATACAGTTAGATCAAAATATTCGTTATGCATTAATGCAAAATATGAGTTAAGATCATAACATGTATTCAAAAAAATTGAAACAAACTCAACTTAACCCCTAACTTAAAAAAATACAGTAAAATTTAAAAGTGGGACTAATAATATTTTAACTTCGTAGGTGGTAATAAATAGCTAACAACACCAATCAAACAGAAGAACTATTCAGTTGGAAAACACTAAAACAATATAATTTTAAATACAAATATTTTTATGATACATAAATATTAGGATTAAGACATACCTGCCTAATATTATAACAAAGTAGTTATTTAAATAAAATATTTAATAATACCATGTATAATAATGAAGGTGAGTAATTTATAATTCTTTTTTTAATTTTCTAGAAACATACATTCTACCACCCATTTAAGTATCAATGATTGATTGATGTTGTTAGCTAAATTAACTTAATTATATAATATTTGTTAAAATTAAGAAAAAAAACATTAGCATGTACTATTTTCATGTAACATATTTTTAGTTTACTATATTATTGGGATTAAGTTTTTTCTGGAATGCAGATTGTCAGACTTGATTTTTTAATTTTCTTTGAAATTAACTTGAGTAGTTGAGTATTTACTATCTAATAAATTAAAAAAGGATAAATATAACCAAATTATTTAACGGTAAGAGAATATGTTTACATACTTAATTCATTTTGTAGTCTCTCCCAACTATTAAAATAGTAAATGGGAAACAAAATTTTTATTTGTCATTGTTCTCGTTTGGAAAATGTAATGGAAGATAGAAAATTATGTGATTTCAATATCTATCTCCAAATCATTTGGCCAAGTATATTTGTAGTAAATACAGATCAACTTAGTTCTTAACAATAATTACTATGCCAGAATGTAAAATTTGAATATATGCAACTTATAAGTACTTCTGAACAGAGAACATTATATTTTTAAGTATGTATATGATGTAGATAGGCAACCATCTTGTTGTGTCCAAGTAGATAGTAATAAGCACGGTAGATTATAGACACAGATATATAATTTTTATATATCTGTGATTATAGAGGTATACGCACAGCCGTATATTCATAATGCACACAATTGTCCCAGTGGATGTGTTTGACTCAAGAATTAACCGGTAGATCGCGCTGCAGTCTAGTGGCCCTAATTTTCATATGTACAATATTGGATACATACAATAGATATAAAATGTCTCATTAAAAATAAGAATTGCAAATAAATAAAAAAAGACATATACCTATTAATGTATTTTAAATTATAAACATAAACATTAACATAAAATTACATAAGAAATAAATGTTTTCTTAAATAAATTAGAAAAAAAGAAATGAATATTATGGATAGTACCTATATAATAATAATAATAACAATGTCAAATATAATTTTGCTTAAGACAAAATGTATACATAATAATACAAATAAGAAGTTCAATTACAATATAAATAGATGTGTGCTTAATGCTTATGTAACATATACTTTAGATTCTTTTTTTTTGTCTCTTGATTTCTTTTTACATGACCGATTTTGTTCCCGTTCATATTGTCTCATTCTCATACGAATATAATGATGTAAGGAACTTGCAATAACACTGCTTTTATGTTCATTGCATGGACATTTTAAGTTCACATTTATAATAATATCTGTGAGTGTTTTTTCATAACAATCCGAGTAGATTACATTTTTTACAAAAAATTTCTCAGCATTTAAGAAAATATCATATAAATAAATATTGCAATTCAATAAAAAACCTTTTGTTTTCATACTTACAAGTTCTGCCACAGCTAAATTGGAAGTATCTAAGTTGGTTAAAAAGGAACTAAGACAAGTCTCGCATTTTGTAGTCTTAAGTAGACGACGGCACAAATATCCTGAAGCATAATAAATTACAATTTCCACTAGTTCTGGTGATTTATAATTATTGGCTATTAAATCTTCTCCTTCCCAATCATCATATTCTACAATTGTATCAAAACGATTTTTTAGTTTTTGAAGGACAGTACTACCAGTTTCACCTCCAAAAATGCTTTTATAGTCATCAAAACTTATAGTGCTCTCCATTAGTTCATCGTTATTGACTGAACAGTTACCAAATTTTGGAGGTTTTAATAATTTATAAGTTGATATAAGACGATATAACTGTTGGAACGTAGGCATTGCAGGATGGTCATTTTGACAACCAGCTTGTCGTATTGTACCAAAAAATTGCTGAAAAAAAATTATAAATTATAACATGTTCAATTTTTAGAATTAAATAAACATTGCAATTAAAAAGTTGACACCAATTATATATTATATAATTGTTGACGAATAATAAGCATATCATTTTTGACGAATAATAAGCATATAATTGTTGACTTATAATAAACATATATTTTATGGTGCATACGTTACTCAAATATTAAATAATTTACTGCAAGAAAATTAAATACAATAGATAGCTTTTTAATACTTTACCCACAAAATATAAGATGCAATTAATATCTTGTATTTTTAAAATCATGGCTGATTATAATACACCATGATTAAAATATACCCTTTGATTTAAATCACAGAATCAGGTAAATACTGTTACTTATTGAGATTAGTTTCAAATCTTAGAATCTACCGTGGTTAAATTACAGATTTTTAACAAACTTTAATTTATTGAAAATAATCTTTTTAAGTCCTTGTGTTATATGACATTAATTCATCTTTGTTTATCAATTCTTATGATTTCAAAATCAAATAGGCTGTAAAATAAATTAAAATAATAAATAAAAGTATTCAGTTAAGTACATAGTAAATATTATTGTAAAATTCAATAATTCAATAATTCAATCACAAAATATGTGTAAATACTAATAATAAATATACAAATGATAGAATAGATTATAACCACAATAATTAAAATTAAATAAATATGTACATTTAGTTTTGAAAACTTAACATATTAAAACAATATTATAAATGTGACTTACTTCAATTTTATCTTGATTAGCTTTTGAAGTTAAAACATAGTCAAACCCAACACTATGAAGGTATTCAATCAAATCAACTGTTGAATGAAGAGTAACTCTAAGACCCTCAGCTGTTTCCTTTGTTAAAAATTGTTCAGGTGTAATAATTTTGTTTGAAACCTCCAATTCCCAACAGTTAAGCCAAGCTATACCATCTTTTATAGTCTAGAATAAAATATATTGGTATGGTATAATTATCAAACTATTACTATAGCAAATTTTAAATTTAAAAAAAAAAAAAATAATAAGAAAACATTATTGTTATAAAACAAAGTTTTGCTCACATTAATATCAGGATTATCGTGTTTAATTCCTTCTCCAGGATAACGTCTGTTGAGGCAATTAAATAAATTATTCAAAAATAATGAAAATTTAGCAGTTGGTTCACTATCTTCCAGTTCTTCAGTAAGACGCTCTCTATACATATTTAATCCTACGTAAACTGACTGGCTAAAATCTACTTTACCAACCCCCTCACGATTTTCAAAATTTTTTTTTTCAAAAGACTTGTTTTTTATGCTTAAAACGATGGTGTAATTTTTTTTTCCCGGAAACTATTATTTTAGAAGTTATAGCCTTCCAAAGTTTACGATTTTACGTTTATGCGCATGCGCGCAACGCTACTTGACTGCCACGCGCGCCTATAACAAATTTTTCTTTTTACGTATTTTAACAAGTTTTGGGACATGGTCAGTCTTGGGTAAGTAATATTGTGAATCACGTCATTATTATGGTGAAATATAAACTATAGTTGAGTAACTAATTAGACTAGGTATATTAGCCCAATTAAAATAAATAATAAATAAATACTGTAAAAATGTTAAATATATTTGATACTAATTTTAAATTTATAGTAATTATATGCAAATATATGCAATTTCCTTAACCCTGTGACCCACTTGGGGAGGTGTTGCACAGCAAAACGGGGGATATTTTCGATTTGCGGAGCGGAGCGACGGCGCCGAGGAGCGTAGCGACGAGTGCCGCTAGCACCGCATCACTTTACGATGTTTTTTCAAATTGGTACCTCGGTGCAACAAAAATGATATTTTCTCAACCCTGTGACCCACTTGGGGAGGTGTTGCACAGCAAGTCGGGGGATTATTGTACCATCGTTTTAAACAGGTTAGAATACGTAAGTACAAAAAATAACAAAAATAGTCCTCCGCGTGGCATTATATAAGTGTTGCGCGCATGCGCATAAACGTCAAATCGCAAACTTTAGAAGGCTATAACTTCTAAAATAATAGTTTCCGGGAAAAAAAAATTACACCATTGTTTTAAGCTTAAAAAAACAAGTCTTTTGAAAAAAAAAATTTTGAAATTCGTGAGGGGGTTGGTAAAGTAGATTTGTTCCAACTGACTTACTAAATATCTAAAATTAAATGAATTCTTTTAATATAAGAAAAATTTATCATAATTATAATAGAAAAATAACCTGTGTCATAAATGATACTCTCATTTTGGCAAAACTACATGGGTTAACATGTGATTCGGTAAGTTTTGGACATACCCTTGTATTACCTGGTAGATTCTTTTCTTCATTATAAAGAATTTGGTAATGCTTCCAACGAACTAATCCAAAGCTAGTCTAAAAAGAAAAAAATATAATTTTATACCATGGTAGATTTTATCTACTATAATCTTCAATGATTATCTAGTAACAAATTTATTAGTAGGTTATAGATACCATAAGCTCTTTTGCTAGAAGGCGATTGCGAATGCATTTAAATAAGTGTGGTGTATCTGAAAGTACAAATATTTTTCTATTCTCGTCGTGAGGATCATTGAAAAAATATTTTACCGCACCAAGTTCACCAGTTATTCCAAATTCTTTCCACATCCGTCTATTAGGTTTAGCTCCATCACATATTCCTGTTACTTTAGCACCAACATGTTCAAGTAATAGGATTGCTTGAACTATTAATTTTGCCAAAGTCACACCATTGGTAGCACCTTTAGCAGCAAAGCATCCAATAGGTTGGAAGTAGTTTTCACAGAGAAGAAAAACCAAATACTAAAGCATGGTCAGCCAAAGCTTCATTTTTTGTACTAGCAATATCATCATTACCAAAGTCTACCACCCCTTGATATCGAAGAGTTTTTGGATCAGTCTTCAATGACTTACGAACACTCATTTCGTCAAAAATAAGAACACCATACTTTTGTTGTTCAGTTTTTAAATTAATTTTTTTCTTGAACATTTCGAAGAATGCTGGATCAAATCCAAAATCCAATTTTACCAAACTAAGATGCCTTTTAAGAGTTTGTACCCAAGGGAGTGGCAAAATTTCATTTTTTAGCATAAATTTATACATTGCAGGACTACGAATCTGCATAAGCAAGCAAGTAAGCAACCAATCATTTGAATACCTTCTACTTGTTTTGGAATTAAATTTTCCAATTCGTAAACATTCATTTATTACCATACCTTGTGCAGAATTCAAATTGAGACGTTTTATATGCTGTTGTATAGTTTTTTCTGAAATACTATCAATTTTATACTTGTAGGATTTGACCATTTCTTCAAATTGATTATTTTTGTGTAATAATCGTATTCTGGACTTTCTAATAGCCTGGCGTGTGCGAATTAATTTTTTAATTTTCTCTTTCCGGAACTTAATAATGTAGACACTGACTTATTTTTACCTTTATCTTTAGATGACCTATAAATTATATCATAAAATGAATATTATATTTTATTAATACTATTTTTTCAAAACTTTATTAACATACTTGGACACTTTTGAAGCAAGTGCTCTACTTAATAAAACACATTTAGAGCATATGCTCTTATTAGGCTCTTTAATTTGAAATATACATTCTACACTTTGCCAACAATTTAAAATATTTATGTATCCTTTTTTCATATTATGTACAGCATTGCAGGAAATTACAGGTGAAACACCACGACAAATAGCAATAGAGTGTAAACTATAAACAATAGTTTTTAATTGAAAACTTGAAGTCACTTTTTGTGAAGTTTCAAATAGCTTTCCCAATATAAATGTAATAATTTCATTGGAGTTTTTCATTGTTCGAATTTCCTTAACAACTACAGACCTTGGTTCTAAATGACTTGACAGTTCCATTTGAGCAAGTATTTTCATTTCATTTATTTGATATGAAACCCAGGATGGATCTGGTAATTCAATTGTCAATAAAGTATCCCAAACATTAAAAATAAGTTGTTCATCAACACCAGATTCCAATGTTGATGAAATATTAGTAGTGTTTAATTCTATAAACAAAATATACATTTTAAATTTCTTAAATAAGTCTCCAAATTAATTTATTAAATTGATGACATGTTCATAGGAAATCTTAATTAATTGAATATACATTACCCTGATCACATTTAGATATTTTCACAATAGATGTTGTTGCAACACAACTATCTGTATTTGAATGAATAACTCTTTTTTTGGGACTTTTTCTTTTATTTGTGATCTTTGGTATACATGATAAAGGGCATCAGTTTTATGTAGGTACAAATGTTGTGCTTTCCAAGTGGTTGGTATTCATGTATTATCAAGTTTACATCACACTTCATAATATAAACTTAAATACATATATTTTTGATTGAAATATCAAATAAAATACATAAATATATCCCAAATTACGACTTAGGTATAATGTAATTTTAAGTTCAATGGAATATTTTTGACAAACTTAATGATTCAACAACTACCTATTTTGTTAGGTATATTATGCTATTAAAGAAATTTAAACTGTCTGTCTACTTATAACGGTTTACAACATAAACTAACTATACATATGTATAGTTCAATTATTAATTACATTATACATTTAATATTTAACTATTTAAGTAATAGTGCTATGCTGCATGGCCACATGGTTTAGTATTTTACTTTACAAGTTTTAAACTTCATTATCAGTATTCAGTTTATTACAACCGATTGATTTTTCTGTACCATTATCATTAATTAATTAATATGATATAATATTTTAATCAATTCTATTATCTTATAAGACCGTGGTCATAGATAATGATCAAGGTATCGCCAAATATCGTTAATAGTAATAAGATTATTATTGTTCTATGGTAATATGGAGGGGATCTGGTGCGACAGCCAATGTCAACAAAACGTAGCATTGGTCAAATTAGCATATATGTGTAATGTACATTCAATTAATCAGGTTCAAAGTACAACAATTATCAATATGTTTAATGTTAGGTACCGTAGGTAGTTAGGTCGAACGGTATCGAATTTATCAGTTATAGCTTCTGGGCTTTACAAATGAAAATTTTCCAGCGGTACCGACTTTCAACCACCAATACTTTGAGGAGCTGTATCTCGCAAACCAATTAACAAATAATAAAAATGTTAACGCGTAAATTCATAAAAAAAAATGGTTTTATTAATTCATGATCTTTTTATTATATGTTACCATTTGAAAATCAAAAGTTGATAGTAGTTTCACCAATAAATATAAGGGTGAAAAAAATTAAAATAGTATAGAGTTTTAGAAAAGCATAAATCTAACAGTTTAAAAAAATAAAAAAAAGTTAATACTTTTCGAGATAATAAGTGTACCCACTTAAATGGATCACCCTGTATATCAATTCGTCTTGCAATTAGGGTTGCCACCTTTGAAAGAAAGCAGCCCCGGAGACAGGCCGATAAGCAAAAAAAAAAAAAAGGTCATTTAGTCATAAATGTGGTCATTAATGAATTACTTTTCAAATTCTGTGTAGTTTTATAATATCGATGCACGGTTACACTGACACAAAAATTAAAAGCAGATATTCGGATTCGATCAAACACACTCGACTGTGATGTTGAAACAGATTCGTAAAATCGTAATCGTAGACTCATAAAATCATAAACCGTAGTTCATAATCGTATTATTCTTGTTATCTTGAATAAATGGTTTTTATACCGGAAACCAATAAAAAAAAAGGCATAATAATAAAAAATCGTATGTTATCTTAGCTTTATCTCTGACCCGGAGAATAATTCACTGAACCCGGAGCCCGTAGATTTATACGTAAACCCGGATTCTCCGGGTGAAACCCGGAGAGGTGGCAACCCTACTTGCAATACGGGTCCTTTTATTAATACCTCATTTAAACTTAGACCACTACTAGTTTTGCACGACGCATCAAAAACAACTCGGAGACGTGTCGACGTACTCGATTCCTTTACGACGGCGTGATGTGGTAAATAACATTCCCTTTTATCTTCATTTACTTGGTTATCATGTACCTGTTCCATATGTCCTAAACGAATATATTCATCTAGAAAAAGGGTGTCATCATTTTTTAATTTTTCATTGTTCGTAAAACGACGCTCGAGAGCTAGCAGTCGACGTTTTGCTATGTCATATGAGCTACCAAGAGTTAATACGTTTTCACGGAACGGTAAACGTACAATGAATCGACCATCAGCCCCTCTTGTCACTGTCCTATCGAAGTATTTTTGACACGCCTTTTCCTCGATAGTGTATGTGACCTTTCCTTCGAATTCTTCCATACGCCAAAACAACGGTAACATATGTTCTACTATCATGTTGATGTCGGTATGAATTGACGTAAAGTGACACTCGATGTTGTCTGGCGGCTCCGTGTTACGATTACACACTGGTAATGATCCCGAAACTATCCATCCCAGTCTTGTTTCTTGGAATATAGGGCCATCTGCCGCGGGTTTGACCTGACGTTCACATATTAATTCATAAAAATGTGCTGCATCTATTAATATATCGATCTTTTGTGGAGACCAAAATAATGGATCGGCCAAATTTATACCTGGCGGTACATGACCTGTATTACTTATGTGTTTTAATGGTATATTTCCGGTAATCTTAGGTACTACTAACATTTTTAATGTTAAACTATAGTCGTCAAATCTCGATTTAAATTTAGTAATTACGTAAGAATGCGCGTGTTGTACCGTTGAACCGATACCACTAAACTGATGATCAGTTTTTGACTTTTTTAATTTTAAGCTTTGGACTAGTTCTTCCGTAATAAAATTGCTTTTGGATCCTGAATCTAATAACGCGCGGCATAACGAAAGTTTTTTACTGTCTCCGAATGCCTGTACTATCGCCGTTGATAATAACACTTGTTCGTACTTGACGCAGTGCGCGTGTGCGGTCGTGGGTGTATTCACTTCAGTTTGACGCTTTTCTTCTGTTGTTGATTTTCCGTCATTCGTTTTATATTGAATAATATGTAATAACGTATTATGTGTTTTACCGCACTTAAAACAATTACGCGACATGCATTTTCTTTTCAAATCGTGTTTGCGTAAACATAACTTACACAATCCAAGTTCACTCACTTTCTTGATACGATCATTCATTAATAATGATATGAACGTCGGACATTTATAAATAGTGTGCTGTAAATTACAGATAAAACAACTTATATCTGTAGAAGTGGTAAATGCTGTAGAAGCTGTACGATCTTTATTTTTTTTTGTTCACACTATTTTTAATTTCTGTTGCGTATTTTATATTTCTTACAATATTTTTGGACGACTCCACAGCTTCTTAAGTTTGCGAACGCTCGTTCAAAAATATAATTAACTCTTCGATCTTTGCGATGGCGTTTTTTGGAGCCTTCATCTCCCACTCCGTTAACGTATTCGTGTCTCGTTTCGTGCATATAATATGTATGAGTAGAGTAATCTTTCGGACGTTGTTTTAAAGCTTCAAGAGCCGCTATATGACCGCTTAAAGTGTCCGATAAAATTCGTAAGCTATCTGATGAATTTTCTTTTACTTCGTTTAATTCACATATATCATTTACATGAGATTGAATTAATAATTTTTCGTTATTATAACAAGCGTTCACCGTTGCCCAAGCGTGTTCGTAATTTATAGCTGTGGTTTCGAAATTTTTTATATGCAATTCGCTGCATCTCCGGTAAGCGATGACCGTAAGTGAAAAATTTTTTTAACTGGCGTTAATCCATCGTTTGTATGAACACATGCTATGAGCATGTCCTTAAATGGTTCCCAATCGGTGAACTTACCACCGAACACCGGTATGTTTAACGGTGCCAGTTTTATGTCCGATGACGTTGAGTTAACGCTCTCTCCACGATCTGAGCTTCGGACTGACGTATCATTCTGGTTCACTCGGATAGAGCTTGTCTTTTGCTCAGCTTCCGCAACTGTCTCAAAAAATAAATTTTCGAAATCGATTCTATATTGCGAATGATCTGATGTACTATCTACTTCTTCGATCGCAGTTTGAACTAACTCAAAATGTTGCCATGCTTCTACTTTGATCTGATGAGGAGGTATTTGTTTTAAATCGCATTCCGATGACATTATGAAATTTTGAAATCATGTTACTACTGCTTTAATTTGACCGCGTCGCGCAATTAACGTATTGATATCGGGATCAACCATTTTAATCTAAACTATGATGGTTACTTTACGGTTATGTATGCAGTGCTATTTAGCTGGCGAGGTGCTCGAGGTTATGTGATAGATAAGCACGATATGGTTATTCTATTGTACCTATACGCTGCTATCGATAATTGCCTTTTCACTGTGACAATTTTATTACCTTTGATACTGTAACTGTACTCTACTCTTTAGCCTGACCGGGAATTACTATATTTATTTTAGTAACGAGACAGGAATACTTTTAAATAATATGGAAAAGGAAAATATGAAAGTGACTCTCTTACCTTGACAGTTGACTTTTCTTCTTTTTTCGATGGTGAACTGGCGTACTGTATCCTTACGCTTGACTTTAGGACTCAGCAACTGCACTTTACTTAAACAACCGATTTTTCTTTTTTCGATGTTGAATTAGTTTACTGTATCCTCACTCTTGACTTTAGGACATCAGTAACTACACTCTTGCGCAGCGATGGTACTTGAGACAGGGAACGATATGCCGCTATATCTACTTCAGTATCCCATAGTTAAGACGATCGATGTAACTATATTTCGCATTTAATCGAACGAGCACGCGCGTGGTTATTAATCCGGACGAATGGACCAAATGTAGCCATGAAGGCCACGATTGTATTGTGACGTTAGTGAACTGTATATTTCGACATTTAAAATATAATGCTCGATTTTATTATCATTTATATTTTATTATAATTCAACACGTTTAATAATTAATATAAACCTTTAAGTTATACTATACATTTTGTGCTTATAAATCGTTGGGGTATTTAGCTACGACGATCGACTAGCGACGACTGTCGTGCACAAAAACAAAAAACAATTACTACGGTCGCTCATGTGAACGACGATATCTTATCTTTATACAACATAACATTAATAATATTAATAACATTACTGGACTCGCCGGAGCACCATACGCGGTGGGGACACAACAGATGGTATTGTATTCTTTTGATTTAAAATTCTTTTAGTAGCTTTCCAAATAGAGTGGTTTGAGTTGGTGAGGGAGCGTATATATTGTTGGTATGTTTCTGTATTGTGTGTGCGAAGAAAGTTTTTCAGAGAGCAAGGGAGGTTGTTGTAGCGTTTTTGTCTCTAGGAAGGTGAGTATGGTGCCAGTTTTTTTTGACGGACGTTTTTCAGCGAGAAGTAGAGAGAGGTAATCGGGGAGACTATTGTTGTTGGGAGAGGTTGGTAGTAGGGTCAATGATTCAAGGGCGCCGGTTTTTATAATATTAGTGAGTTCCGAGACAGTAGAGTCAACCTCAGTGGGAATTTTTAAGGATAATTTTAAAGAAATGTTGTTTTTAACGATGTGCGAATTGTTTCCAGTTTTTTTACGTGGTCTAAGAGTCGGGTAATTTTTTTGGATGGATACTTTGATTGTTTAGGGTAAGCAAGATCGGTATATGATCTGCTGAGAGACCGAAGGAATTTTCAATTTCGAAGTTGGTGTGATTAGGTAGGGTATGTATGAAAAAGTCAAGGAAATCTGTTGTTCTGTTTGAATGAGTAAGCCAGTAGGTTAGCCCAGGAGGGGGTAAGTGCTTAAGATTGTTGCTGATAAGTGAGTTAAGCAGAGAGCGACTCCTGGTGTTGGTTTATCTGGAGCCCCAAATTTGATGTTTTGAGTGGAAATCTCCTCCTGATAAGAACTGTAAGTCAGTGGTAGCTATTTTATTGGCCTGTCCAGGAGGGCAGTAGATAGCGGAGATAGTGGTGGGAATGGGCTTAGCAATAAGGAAATATAAGTGGCTTGAATGAGTGAGGTTTGAAACCGAGGAAGAACAGTTTGGTTTATATTTGATTTAATATTGCCGAACCAGCGTGGGCTGTTCCATCAGGATAATCGCAGTGAAATGTAGTATAACCTGGGATACGGAATGTGGAGAATGGAGTTAAGTGGGCTTCGCAAATTAAGATAATATTAATATTTTTTTTAGTAATAAAAGCTCTTGAGTTCGTTTTTTTTGTCTAGTTATAACATTTACGTTCCAAAGGAGGAGAGTGATGGGTGGGGGATATGTTTATGACTGTTTTACATTGTTGGGAATAATAAGGCTGTTTATGAGGGTGGTTAAGAGTGAAATACCCTCGAGGGATTAATACAGACGATGGATAGATGGTTTTCACCACAGCGGACGCATTTGGGATTTTTATTGCAGTAGAATTTTGTGTGAACAAATCCTTGGCACCGAAGACATTGAATTGTTTTTTTATTCACCAGAGGCTCCTCGATTTTGATTTTGGTTTAGAATACGTATTTTAGATTAAAAATCTCTTTGTTATTGAAAGCGGGTACCAGGTCGATAAAAAAAAAAGGGAGTGAAGATTTAGTGCCGTGTTGGATAACATTTTATATCCTTCTCGGAGTATGACCATGTGCAGTAGTTATTTTCTAAGTTCTTCAATTGGAGTGGTATGGTGAAGATTGCGGATAACCACGCGATACGCTCTATCCTCTTTTGATTGGTAGTTGCGAAAGTCGGAGTTGTTGGTTCTTAGATGTTTAATAACCGATGATACGAGTCAGAAGATTGTGTTGACAGTTTTACGCCGTTGATTGTGCATTTACAGGAGAATTGTTAAGCCTTAATCACTTCTTTGATGGTCTTACAGAAGGAGTTGAAGTCGGTGACTGAACTAATAAATATTTTTGGATTAGTTATATTTGTTGTGATGGGGGGAGGGGGGTTGGTTTGTTTAGTGTAGAATCAAGGTCCATGTTGTCTGTGTCGTTGTCCTGATTTTTGAAGTCGTCGGTTTGATTTATAAGTGGTGAAAAACGATTGTTTGAAACATATTTTGTTCGTTTTTGATGGTGATTGATTGAATTAGGTGATTGATATGGTGATAGAACAAGTTTGTTTGCTGTGGTGATGAGTCCGTTATTTTGAGTTTAGGTGTAGGCCGGGATTGAGAGTGATTTGACACACTCTTTATGCGTGTTTTCGGAATAATTAGTGGAGGGACGGTCTTAGAACTGTTTTTCCGCATGTTATTGCGGTAACGTTAATGACGGTCGGCCGTCAGCTAGCCGCCGCGGGTTGAAATGATGTCACTGACGAGTTATAATAGATTATTACCTAGGTAATTATTGTATGAACTGGATGCGGGATGGCGAAATTCCTTTACGAGATGAGTTGTTTGGCTGAGTGGAACCTTGATGTTTTTTTGGAAAAGATGTCTTCGGACGAAAATACAATACGTAGTCGAAATTAAAATAATGACTAACAGCCATCACTGTTTCATTATCAACGGTCGAGACTAAGCTATTTATATACTTAAATAGTTTGAAGATTTTTTGATTTTGTAAAAAAAAAATATTTCGTTTGCCAAAAATGGCTAAAAAAATAGTCAAAATATTTTTATGTACATTTTAGGTTTATAAAAAATGCTAACGTAAACATTTGGTAAAAGTTTTAAGTATATCTACGATTAAGGAGGCTCCATCGGACAAATCTGGAGGAACTTTGTTTGATAGATTTTCATTTTGAAAACGGATTATTATTGATTAACTTTACTGGGTTTGTTGAGAGGCAAATATTTAATATTCCAATTATTGTTAGTGTCTTATTGAATAATATGAAAACAAAAATATCATAATTTTATTCATATATCACAGCTCAAAAAATAGATATTCAAAGTCGCCTCAATCGAACCCTAGTAAACTTAGTAATAAATGAAAATCAGTCAAACCAAAATCCTTCAGTTTTGTCTGGATATATGGTCTAAATGAATAAGTCCGTCATTATGATAGTAGATATGTCATTAGATATGTAGTATGATGTTCTTCACTAGAAGACACTCTAAAATTGTTTTCTTTTATAATATAAATGGTACCATCCTGACGCATCTAAAGTCTTTGTACCTGACGTCTGCGTCCAACTAACAAGTTTTCTAGATTGAAGACCTCATACAGTGGTTGCAAGGTTTTTGGAACCAAAGGATTTATTATGCGAACTGCTAATTCCTTCACTAACGGTTAATCCCTTAAGGTACTCTACTGCAATTCGGTGTGGAGTATACTTGAGTATGGCAGTGTAATCTGGAATCCCAATAGGATCTTAGAGAAGATTTCTTAAGTAGTACTCGCTAGTTCCTTCACCAAAATCCCACATCCCCAACATGATTATACACCTGTAGCTTCAAGACTCAGTTTAGATTCCTTGGCTGATCACCGACATTCAATAAATCTCCAGTTCCTAAATAATATTCTATCTGGTAAAACTAGTTGATCTACCCTCCTATCTCTGGTTAATTTTAAGGTACCCCAACGATCTGTCAGGCATTCTGTCCCTTTTTCTATAAAACTATCTACCACAAATTGTATGTTAAATTAACCTATTAGGCGTTGTTGTGTACGTCTTAACGAGAAATTAATAAGTACGCTCAGAGAAATACTATATCTTTTTATTTAAACAACGTCAAACAAATTAAGTATACAAGAGTTCGGAGATTCTGCTGGACTACGACTGATTTCCCCTCTGGACGAGCCCGTTTGGGCAGGCCCGTTGTGGCTCAAAATTGTCCACGCAGTGGAACGCCATATAATGTGACCGGTGTCGGCACCGATGCGGTCAGGGCATTTGCCTTCAGCACCTTTATCGTGCCACTTGCCGTCCATTTATTTCTATCTACCTAACAATATAATGTGGATGCTATAAATAATATATATTATGTACTTATTTTTAGTTAAAAGGTATATATTTATTTTTATTTAAACTTCCTTTCACACCTTTTCAAGTTTAAGAATTTGAGTATTTTTTTACAGCATGTTTAAAAGATTGTTTTAATTATTAATAATTATATAATTAATATATTTTGTCAATCATATTTTTTTAACACCTTATTATAATTATTCGTCGTATACGATTCAATGTTTTTACTGACGAGTAAACTAG